ACGCTAAAATTTAAAATCCGGTTCATAAACCGGTTCAAAAAATTTGATATATTTGAATAAGATCTCACAAATCTAATATATTGACTTCTTATATAATTAACTCTATTATATACAGCTTGTCTATACATTAAATTGTACAAGTATGAGGGAATCATGAAGTACATAATTTTATATTCTTCAATGATATTAATTATATTTTTTCTGGTATTATTTGTATTCATTAATACCTACAGGTATTTATTTTGATATAAAAGTACTCAAGATTTATTACAATACTTTATAAGATTAAGTCTTATATAGATAACCTATTACCTATCATACTATACTATATTATTGTATATCATATATAGATATCTATTATCTATCATACCGTGAGATACCTATACCGTCATTAACTACTATAATAGCTACTGTCTAATTTATATATTCACCTATATTATATAGGCTTACTTACGCCCTATGTATTTTTTTTATTATCTCTAGCTATCTATTGTCTATACCGGGAATTGAACCCGGGACCTCCGCGTGGAAGTCGCGCACCTTAACCACTACCCTATCGGATACCCCCACTATTAATATGGGGGACGCACTGTTGTTTCCGCGGGTCATTTTCCAATTAATTAGGTAATTAATACTAAGGTGGCGCAACGACACGCGAAAAAAGACGGTTGATTGTAGCGTTACGGTGGTGTAGTGGATAAGGTCGTCGCGTGCCACGCGGCGGACCCGGGTTCGAATCTCGGTAGGGTTAATGTAGCGTGTAAGGGAAATTATAGGTAATAGGATATATAGTAGATATAGGTTAGGTGTATTCGGTATACAATGTAGGGATTTGAGAGTATATAATGAAATATAGCGTATGGTATAGATGTAAGGCGGTGTAGTATAGAATGCAACGTATAGGCATACGTAAGGCTATAAAAATACACAAATGGGAACCTATGATGTTTAGGTGTTAGCGTATAAGAAATGCGAATGAATATAAGATTTAATTTATAAATATTATTTTTTCTATAAGAATTTTTATCTCGGTATTAAATATCTAAAATATCCAAAATATCCGTTAAGGCATCGATCACACCTTACTGCTGCCTTTGCCGTTATCACTTCATAGAAAATTAATTACTGCACTTTTAAACGATTGTGTGCACTGTGCGACAATAGACATAAAACTATAAATTTTATTAAATGTTTGAGTAACTTATGCGAGCTGATTTTCTTAAGATGTTCTTAGTCTCGCAACTTACTGAATTCTAAAAATTCTAAATTTAAAAATATAATACTAATATAATACATACAGAATTTGGAATTTTTCTATAATCCGTAATATTGAGAAGTTTGCATTAGACCTAAAAAGGGATGCGTATTTACCTAAGCTATGGAAATATATATGGAAAAATTATATGATTTGTACATGCATCCTGTGCTCACTTAAACTAAACAATGATCATAATATATTTTACGAATTTTTAACAGTATTTACAAATTACATTCAAATCACCCAAAGCAAGTGGGTTAAAGTCGTGTAATTTTTTAATTTGCCTCCCCTCTCTGAATTTAAAAATGGATTTTTCTGTTCTGAAAAAATTCATCCAATTATTAAAATATTACATTTTTTTGCAGTTCTTATGCTTTTGTATTTATAGAATTGCTTTTTTTCGCTACAATCAATTTCCATTATATTAATGTCTTAAATTATTTATTTTATTCGACTAACGCCCGCTATGTTCAAAACAAGTCCAACTTATATCCGAAATAATCGGGCATCAGACACTTTTCGGTCTTAAAGTAACATATGTAATACACTACTGTATTATAATTAATATTTCAGTTCATACAACTCAATTTGTAACTAAATTAAAAACGGCTTTGATACTAAACCAAATGAACTATATCTCAATATATAACACGTATCAAACAACCAACTATCAACTATGTCCAGTAAAATTCCAAGTTAATTCCTAATTATAGAAATATGTTATTTTCCTATTCCTCCAAAATTTGTCATCTGTCCTTTACGGGATAAAATGAGACAGCCAGGGGACAACCAAATTTTTGATAGCTTATTTTTAATTTTAAAGGAATTTTACAGAGTAATAGCTACAATATTCTTTAACCAATACAAAATATAAATTTTATGGATAACATAAAACTTTGTAACATTTTACAAAGATAACATTGTATACCTTGATCTGATATTTCGTGAAAAATCATCAGCTGAGTTGGAATAAGTATTTGATTTATATCTTGTAAAATTGCATTTTTAACTTAATTTACTTTTTTATTAACTTTTTTTTATTGTTTACACCTTTGCCAGGGTAAAAGTTTAGTTGGATAAAAACATCTAACTTTAAACATTAGCATTAAATTGACTATACATCATTATCTTACAAAACAATTAAATAACGTATACTTCAGAATTGTGTTCAGGTTTCGTAAACAAAGCAACAGTGATAAAACAAATGCTTTTGTTGTAGATTTTCAAACATGGCCGTTTTTCTCCTGATAGCGACATTGTATTATTTAAGGTGATGACTGGTATTTTTTCCATCAACTTTCAAATATTGTAGTTAAAAAATTCTAACTTCAATTGTTTTTAAGATATTGGTGATGAACCCGCGGAGCTTTAAGCTCTGCTCTACCCTATATACTCGTATGTGTGTGAAACCGACGGACTAGATTTAAAAACGCCTGATAACACGACAATTTGCATAACATTGCACAATTCATTACTGCAAACTAGACACGTAACATAGAATTTCTATTTTATGGGAGAATTGGCCCCTTATCTCCAGGTACATACTAATTACGAAACGCATTGCGCTCCATAACGACCGCCTATAATACTGCATGCTGTTTTAATAATTGATATTTATTTGCAAATATAGGAGCCCCAACGTGCAGTTTGAATATTCTAGGTCATTTTTCATTCATAACATCATACTATATATTGTTTGTATTCATTGATTCATACTTCCTCGCATATTTTATCGAACTACAATCCTTCGCCCGATTTTGCAAACACGCGTCGAAGCCCATGTATTCGACGCAGCCAGACGTTAGTCAAACGAGGCCCCCCTGTGGAGAGAAGACCGTATACGTATAATATTATATAAATATGCATACCAGTATACTTTCAATTGTGTGCGTTTAATAGTGGCCCCCCATGGTGCGTTTCTATGGCGACACGGAAACACAGCCACCCAAACAAACATGGCGATGCATCAGCCGGTCAAAACAATATAGGGATAATGTATCCGGAATTGAAGATTTAAATATGCGAAACTGCAATCGTTAGTAGTTAAAAAATATTATAAATTGGTTTAAGTTGGCTATTACATTCTATTCTCATATAATAGCAATGATATTTAATAAACACACAAAATTATCATTTGTAGAAACCATCTGCATCTACACATTTGCAACGTATACTACCTCTAATCTTTTTTTTTTAAATTATTTATTTTATCAGAGATAACAACTTAAGGGTCTTATGATCTGTTGTAATACATTTCTTACAAATTACCTTTATTTTTTATAGATAGCATTCCAAACAGTTGTTCCATCCCTATATTAGGATTTTTTTTATTATTTCACTTATTGCAATAGTGACTTCTTTATTGATTTAGCAATAACGGGAAAAGTTTATTTTTACCTGCAAATTAAAACAGATGTCACTATTACTTGAGAAGCTGCTCGAAGTGTAATCGAATCAGGAACACCTGATTCAGGTTCATGAACCAGTTGAATTTTAATCATTAGTTAATACACCTGGAAACATCTTAATCATTTTGCAGGCTGACGAGCCATGCTGAAAATATATAGATATCAAAGTTATCAAACAGAAGATCTGTTGGTTCCAAAACTCCTTAGAAGTTTAGAACAAAGTGGTAAAATACTCGGGAATCATTGGTTAATCAAGTTGTTCATTGGTGTTGTTTGGTTTATTTTTATACCTTATACTGAATACTATGGTACACAACAAGACTTGGTCAATTCTTTTTGGAGAACAGCACAAAGATGGCAGTTTTTGGCTCTCACTAGCAAACAGACCAAATCAATGATCTAGATAGAATTCCATAAGTAAATTGCCAATTGGAAGCGAAACACAAAATAAGAATGTCATCAAAATCTCATCCATAATAGTTGTTGTAAATGTACCTATATCGCTGGTGAAATATAAAAATCCATGGCAAATCTTTTTATATCGATTTTACTGCTAGAATAAATCATAAATTCATGTGTAAAACAGTTGATTTTTTAAAACATTTTACACGTGGCATTAAATTATATGTACATAAATTGTAGTAGTTCGTAGTATTAATACCAAATTTTCTTTTAACCAGAAATTATTTTTTTCTTTTCCATTTATAGGCTTGTAATTACTGATTTTTTGTTTCCCTAATCTAGTAGATGTAAAACAAAAATTCGGCTCATAGACGGTAAAAATTGATATAGATATATTTCTTAATAGGTAGTCCTTACTAATAGGTAATTTTACTCACAATTTGATTTTCTGCTGATCCAGGTTAATTTTATCACACTACATCCTGCATCTTGCTTGCTTCCGATTCCTCTCCATAACTATATCCTATTTAAATGACGTTTTGCAGGATAGTCGATTACGATCCTGGTCGATTGCGGAATATCCTGATAAAATACATCTTTTATATTATATTACCGATATAAAGAGAGGATTTGCAATCAGCGTCATTTCTATTGAGGCATTATAAAACATAACGGATGAATAGGTTGGAGAAGATTTAAAATATAACTGGACCGAATAGATGGTTAGTCAGAGTTGCAGAAATAAAATATTAAGCTTTTGTAATCAAGTAATTATATAATTTGAAAAAGTTGTTTAACGTTTTATTATATTTTGAACTAAAAAAGATGTGGTAAACATGGCCTTAAATTGTATGAATTGTCCACATAGAATAATCAAATTGATAATGATTTTTATTCAATTTTTTCTAATTACTCTGGTTTATTATTTTCAGGAATGAGCCCACTTGATGCCAGTAAAGACTTTACGGTCGATGGTATAAATGGTTTTAATAAAAAGAAAAAGAAGAAGCGAAGACATAGGTAAGTTTTATAAAACTAAAATTCTTGCATTTTAAGTTTTATAAATGACTGTTTTAATAGAATTTGACTGCTGTAAGGATTTTAATTGTTTTATCAAATTGAATTCATCATATTTTTCAAATATTCTATTGGTGGCCATGAACATTTTTCTGTTGCTTATTATTCAAAAATAGGTTAAATTAAGCGCTGCCATTTTTGTAAAGCTAGATTTCAGCCAATTTTACATATAAAGTGTTTTTTTTTTACAATATATTACATAGTCATAATAAATTCTGAAGTGATTATAATATTTTAAAGCAGTTATAATGAAACCTTTCGATTAAAATGGTGATACTTGTAGTTATTATATATTATATTATTTATTACCTTGCATATCTAAAAAATGTTCAAACAAGACGCTAAGGCTAGTACTAGACACATTGAGAGACTCCACTGAACAGACATGACTCACTAAGGAAGCTCACTGAGAATTTTTACCTCATATGTAGGAATCACGACAATATCAACATTTAGGCACTAGGCCAATTCATCAAAGAAATAGTTCAGTAAAGCAAATACGCCAAATGTTTTTGATCATTTAAATCAAGTACTTTTTTATTTTTATTTATTGTATATAATTGTGTTGTTATTCGTTGGTCTACCCTAGTTGGTCCTGTCTCAATTCGCGTGCGATACGCTCGAATGCGTTTTTCTTACCGCGTATGACATTTTCATACGTTTGTATTGCCGCTTTTTCGACGATTTGCACGCTTTTGCGGCAGGACTATTTTCACTTCGTTTCAGTTGGACGAGCTGGAAAAGGCGTTCAAGGAAGCACATTACCCAGACGTGTATGCCAGAGAAATGCTATCGTTGAAGACTGATTTACCAGAGGATAGGATACAGGTTAGTGGAGGAAAAGATTTATGTTATCGTAATAACATTCTTTATATAGGGGTAAATGATTATTATATAACAACATTCTGAGAAATTTTTGTTCTATAAATCATAATAGTTATGTAAAACATTTCGTACTGATACATTTCACGACAAATACATATTAGACACATATAGATGGCATTAGACACATGGTATGAACCTGTATTGAATACGAAAGATATCGTTACCAAAATAATGAAGGTACCAAACATAAACATATTTACTATAATTGTTTCTTCATTTAGCCTTGAAAAGTTACATACAGTTTATAGGGTGTTTCTGAACGTGATAGAATTGATCGTAATTATCATGAAAAAAATAGAAACAAAATTGTTCCTTGTAATTTCAAAATTTTGAGCTTTCACGTGCACTCTCGAGCTTTCGTGAAACTCTAACCATTTTGATTAGTAGACAATCAGTTCGGCTATTTTGGTTAATTTTGGTCTCTATATCTAAGTCACAAATATAATTATACTAACATAATTTTATTACTCCCTTCTGATCCCTTTACAAAAATAACCGATACAAAAGCTTAAGAAAACCGTAACTGTGGCAACTTTGGTAACTTTTTCCCAGCTTGATTAAATTGAATAATGAACAATATTGCACACAGTGACTTGACTTCTTTCATACAATTTTCCTGGTTCGTGCGTATGACAGCTTTTATAAGTTTTTTTTTGCGCCCGACGAGCAAATAGAGTAACATCCAATAAGAATACAATCAGAAAACGCCCACCGGGGAATACGGTGGAGTAGCAAACGGCTGCGTTACTTATAGTACTGGAAGAGGAGTTGATGCTCAATGCAATTTGTAAATGACATAGATTTTTCGTATTATTTAAAATTATTATTATTATTATTTTAATAACAATCAGCACATTAATTACATTCTATGAGTTATTTTGATTTACATTAATTCAAAACAATTATAAATTGTTTTTAGATGTAGATATTGATTTATTGGATCCAGTTAATTGGCCATAATTAGAAATTGAAAGCAAACTTTATACTTATTATTAAAATCTTCATAAAATATCTAGTAATTTGATATGCATATGTCCTATGATTATTTTTGCTCGCTAATGGCATTTAAAAAAAAAATCTTTAGATTTAGAAACTGTTGGACCTGCTTCCCAAAAATTTAATCAGTTCTTTGTCCGTCTTCTTAATTCTGGTCTAAGGAGCAGCGTAATAACGTTTTTCTAATTTTTGTTGATAATTAGTGGATTTTGTTGTTATAAAGTCTCTAATTAATAAGAAATTAGTACAATCAAATCATCATGCAGGGTTCTATTGCTCAGGTACCAGGGTGCACCTGGCAACATTCTAAATAGTTTTGATTGGGTCCGCTGGACCAATGACACATTAGATTTGCTGGAGAAGCCCCAAAACTCTATTCCGTACGACCAGATAGGAATTAGTATTGTATTATAAATCAAGATTTTGTTTTCGAGCGCTAATTTTGAATTTATCCGAAGCCCCCACCCCCGTACCGGATTAGCATAACTAAAAGTTTCCGTCCCGGTTTCAACTTTTTAAAAATAGGGTCACCTAACTTAAACTGCCACTTACACCTAGTTAGAACGAAATTATTATGGGCTGATTTCATGAGCATAAAATTAATCATTTAACAATTCCTCCGTCATATATGTCATTTCAAAATAGCAATTTTCTAATTCATCTGCCTCGTAATGAATTGATGTCGCACAGTTTTGTTAATCGAGTAGGCGTTCCCGTCCAAGTAAAGAGTTTTTGCAAATGACACGCAGTCCATTATTCTGCAATCACTCCGGCACACCTCTTGTCACGCGTCACTCCGCATTTTCAATGAAAAAGTCGCATTTTATGCGGTCGATATAATGATTTAATTTCGAACACAATAGGAAAATGTTTCTGAATTGAACGCCCTTGCGATTTAATAACGACGAATGACAAAAGTAGATGGAATATTCAAAAGTTTCACTTGTATAGATACATATTGATAAATTGTCATCCCAATAGCATAATTGTTATATATGTTTGATTTATTGTTGTCTTTGAGTACATTTTGTGATCAGAGAATATTGATGGGGGGAGGGGGGTATTTATCTAGACCGCAGACTAACATGGAAACACCACATCACGACAAAAATCAAAGCTATCAAATCCAGAGTTAGGAAACGTTATTGACTTTAATTCCTTGAAAACAAAACCTTTGTTTATAAAACAATATAATTGCTGATTAAATTTTTGGAAATCAGGTCTAGCAGCTTCGGACAAAAATCATCATGACACATATGCACATCAAATTATCAGATATTTTATTAAGATATTAATAATCAGGGGGCGTCCATTAATCACGTGAGGTTTTTAGGGGGGGGGAGGATTTGACAAAAAATCACGAAATATCACGTGGGGGAGGGAGGGTACAGTAATATATCACGTGCATTTATTTTTAAACTAATTTTTTTAAAAAAAATTCAAACATTTTCAAAAAAAAAAAATCAAATTATACAGTTTTATCACATAATTAAAAATACACGTGATGTTCGATGGGGGAGGGGGGGTAATTTTGAATATCACCAAGGGGAGAGAGGGGGTCCAAAAATCCTTAAAACCCGCTCAAGAAATTAATGGACGCCCCCTAAGTATAAATTTCGTTTTTAATTTCTATTTATGGCCCATTAACTTGATCCAATAAATTGTATGTAATAGTAATTACACGTTGGGGTAGCTACTATCTATAATTGTAATTAATTAATGTAAATCAAAATAACTCATAGAATGTAATTAATGTTCTAATTGCTATTAATACAAATAATAATAATATTAATTTTATATAATACAAGAAATCTATGTAATTTACAAATTGCATTGAGCGTCTATGTTATATATTTCATTATATTTTCGAAATAATCTGCTTTTTATACAGATATCTAGCTTATATTATTCTAACAATAATACGTATATTAACTTCCCATAGGGTAATTATCTTCCCGTAGCGTAAGTTATTGTAATCGTCCAAAAATCGAAATTGAAAATTTTTGCATTTCTCGACGTTTTGAAGGTTTCTGAACATTTTGGCATACCTCAGAAAATACTTTAAACGAATAATTTTAACTTTGCAATTTAGACTTTTGGAAATATTAGATAATGTTACAATATTTATAATAATCTATTTGAAAACATTTAATATTCCTCGAACATTTTGTTACGGTACGGGAAGTTCCATCAAATTTGCCAAGGCACGATGCTATACACCCTACTAGTTTTGTAACTTATTTTTTACTTTTTAAATTACCTTAGTGTTTAAAAACATTACTTTATCCATCTCCAATCATCACTTTATCCATTCGCCTTTCTAGATTTCCCCATAAATAAACACTTTGTTTCTATAATCTTTGTCCAGACGAGACCTCCTAGGTTTTCATCAGCGTCTCTTACAAGTATTTTTCGAACAATCGTCGGGCGGCGTGGGATCCTATTAATTAAAAAGAAAAATTGTCAGACGGACAATAGTCTCCGAGGGACTCTCGTAGATGTCGAGTACGATTCTGAGAACATAATATACCAACACCGGTACAGCCTGTACCGGTGTTGGTATATTATGTTCTCAAAATCGTACTCGACAATGTCGAGTGTGCTGGATTTACAGTAGGGGCAATCGGGGCTACTGCCCAGGGCGGCAAATTTGGGGGGGCGGCAAAATTTGGATAGTGAGAAAAAATTCTATACAATATAATCAACTTTTTTTAACTACATTTTTTATTTCAAGAAATCTAATTAACAAAACATAATACGATTGCAATGCAAAATTTTGGTTGAAATAACGTTAACTTAAAACTTTTATTTTGCCTTGCCTCCCTCTCCGAACGTAAATTATCAAATTGGTTTATAATTATCAAATTTGGCAATTTGGCTAATATAAAGATCCGTAAACAAGCTGAAATTTAAGAAAAATGTGTTCTACAGTTCTCGAGCCCTCTTAAAATATACGTATTTGTGCACTTCCAAGCTTATAGCGTCAAAAAAAAAATTTAAACTAGTGACTCATGGCACTGTGCCTTAAGACAAATTACTGAAACACCCCGTACTGAAAATTACATTTTGTAAAGAGCTTTAAATTTTATTGAAAAATGAAAAAAAAAGACTTCTAAAACACATTTTTTGTATTTTGAAATTTTTTGAAAATTATGAACTTTTTGCAAAGCAATCGCGCTGCGTAGCTGTTTCAGAGAAGAAGTATCGAAACTCAATTACCATTTTTCGTAATTGCCTGTACCAAAAGCTGATCAGCACGTCTCCCCATCAATTTGTATACAAATCTAATATTTTTTAATTATTCAAGTCGATTTCGAGAACACAGATCAACCGATTTATGATTCAAGTCCTATTGATAAGCAGACGTGCTGATTAGTTATTGGTCAAGGCAGGTCCAACTGATTTGAAGATACGGGCCAAAATGCCAAAAATGATAATTCAGTTTTTGAGAAAAAAGCGTCCAATAACATTCAAAAAAATTTACAGAATAAATAACTGCTTAAATTTCTGGGTGGCAGGATTAGCGGTTTCGATGATCCAATAAAAAAATTTGAAAAAGAAACATTTGGCGGACAAAAGTGATCATAAGACATAGGCACATTAAATTATTTTAACATAATAAATAATTAAAATATTTTAAAGACATTATAATAACAAGTATAAATTTTGTTTACATTTATATAAGTTCTGTAACATTGTTTATCAGTTAGACTGCGACGCGGCGCTTACGCGCTTCTATATTTTGTCCCACGCAGCTGAAGCAGCGCGATTGCTTTAAAAAAAAGTTCGAAAGTTCGTAAAATTTCAGGGATGGGGCGGCATTTTTGTCAGTGCCCCGGGGCGCCAAATTTCTAAATCCGGCCCGGTACAGGTGTAATATCGAATAGAAACGCATACTTTTTCTATGCCCACCTTAAAGAAGAAAAAGACTTCAAAAAAGACAATTA